TTACTCGTTGTAGAACCAAAGTCATCAGAAATTTACAAGACTCATAAGACAAAGGTGAATAAAAACATCGAACTCCAGAAATGTGCATGAAAAAATCAATGGATATATATATATATATATATATATATATATATATATATATATATATATATATATATATATATATATATATCTTGCGGTGGCATTTGTAATCAGAAAATAACGGGAAGAACTAAACTGTTGGTGTGGGAATGGTTCCTGAAAGCGTCGCTTATTTCGTACACACCCCAACAGTCGGATAATGTTTAGTATAAGGCCTCGTGTACATACTATTAGTAAAAAAAAAAAAGTAAAGTTTCCCTTTCAAACCTGACGGTCTATGGGGCAAGTGAAGTAGAGTTCACATACTATTAGTTTTACTAATTATATTCAGTTGAAATTGGAAAAAAAAATGTTAATGTAGTATAAAGGCTCGTATATTTATTAAATTTATTCAGCGGAATTTTGAAGAAAAAAAAAAGAAAATGTAGTATAAGGGCTCGTATATTTATTAAATTTATCAGCGGAAATTTGAAACAAAGAAAGAAAATGTAAAATAAGGGTTCGTATATTTATAAAATTTATTCAGCGGAAATTTGAAACAAAAAAAGAATATGTAGTATAAGGGCCCGTATATTTATTAAATTTATTCAGTAGAAATGTGGAAAAAAATCAAATCAAATGCCGTGTTACATACACATCTTCAAGTTTGACATTGCTTTATACAATGCACCTACCCCATATGTATGGCTTTATTTTAACATTGTTATACAATGCACCTACCCCATATGTATGGCTTGATTTTAACATTGTTATACAATGCACCTACCCCATATGTATGGCTTGATTTTAACATCGTTAGACAATGGACACACCCCGGGGGAGTTGGAGTCATAGATGGATGTACTACGGCATTAGATGAAGAGATCAGGGTTTGCCGCTCGGTATAAAGTAAAGTTTCCTTTTTCACCTAGCGATTCATAGGGCAGATGAAGTAGAGTTAACAAGTTTCTTTGCCTAGGCATATGATGCAATGGTGTGGTCAGCACTATGCCCAGGTGCCTTTTCCTTTCCCGTCAACGCAAGTTAGATACCCATCAGAGCTGGCTGGAGTCAGTGACGTCATACAGTCACAAGCCCGAACCGAGATTCGAACTCGAGACCATCGGTCTACTATTCGTCCATCTATATCGGTATAGTCAAAGAAAATGCCGAGTATTTTTTTTTTTGCCATCTTTGATTCCGAAACACAGTTGGTAATCCTATCGCCTAAAGGGTTCCACTCCTGTTCGGTGTAGAAGTTTTTATCTCCTGGGTGGGTTGCTATCCCCCAACTGTCCGGGGGTTCGAATCCATGAGCTCTCCTACTCGACACCCGACCACGGCGTCCCACTTACAATACTTTAATAAATGATAAACTACACTAAACCACTTTGGATTCATACTAAGTCGATTGTATATAAAACGTATATTGTTGTGTTCTAGGGATCACACACGCAATACATGAATGGGGTCACACACAATACAGGCCTGGGGTCACACACACACATACAATACACACACACACACGCGCAATACACCCCAATTTCTGGGGCCGACCATCAGTGTTTGCGAAATCGCTTGGAAATATTGGGCTTACAGGCATACATAGAGAAATCTATAGGCCTACTGGCAGAAGTGCATTTAGATACTTCGACTCTGTCAATTTAAACCCAAAATGTTTAGAGCAACTATGGACTATGTAGCCTACTTTTGTGTTTGATTCGAAATAGTTCATTGATTAATTTATTTTATTTTTAAATTCCTTATTAATTTTAAAATAAAATTGGGGGTCCCTATGTAATATCGTTAATATAAAATACTAAACTTGTCGTCACACCTACCTGTATGAGTCGTTCGAAAAATTTCACATTATGATTGAACGGCCGTTTATTTTTTAGTTTGCTAATTATAAAACTTAATTTTGTTAGGTTTTCGTCATCCTCAATGTAATAAGGTTGTGAATTTGATAACATTTAATTGAAAAGCAGGCTTAATATTTTATTAGAATAATTATAATTTTAAAAAAATAATTATTTTAATACTGACCAGCGCTAGCAGGAGAAGCAGACGTAAGTCCATCTTGCCCCTCTCCACTCCTCGCTATCATCAGCTGCTTTGATAATCTGGTTGTATAAGTCCGGCCCAGCTGCCGTAAACCACCCCCAGTGACAGGGGCCCACACCAAAGCTGTTGCCCGCCAGGGGAGGCTCCACCAACATTTGGATCAGGTGGGAAACGGCAGGTCCGAAAACAAAATTTTAACTCATTTTTTTTTAGCCTCGTCCTTAATCAAATCAGCAAAAGTTTTTTTTTACTCATACTTCACGGGTAAGTAAACACATTTTTAAAATCGTTTTTAACTGAGGTCTGAGGTTATACTCTTGAACAGTGTTTCTTTCAGACATTTTTTCTCCTGGGGTGGGGGGAGGGTGCACATACATTTCTGGGCTTGGATTGGAACAAGGCATCCCTACATTTTCCTCTTTTCTGCAACACGGCTTGCAGATCGTTGTTCCAGACAATTTTTTTACACCCCCCCCCCCCTTCCTGGCTCTCCTGTTCTCATCCTTTATTAGGTATTATTCCAACAGAATTCGACAGTAGAATTAGGGGTCTTTTATAAATGACGTCCCGTTTTTATACCATTTACTACCCCCCCCCTGTCCCTCGCCCGTTACATTCCGTAACACACCGTTACAAAAAGCCAGACCCCCTCCCCCCTAAAATGACTTCACACCTCGGTCTCAAACCCCCTCGCTCTTTCTTATGGACGACCCCTTAAATTAATTAAAACATGTCTTTTTCTTTTAAACAAACAGATGAACAATGAAGACGAACATAAAATGTTTCGTTTAGAGTTAGACCATCCTTCAACCTGCACTCCAAAACAAAAAAAAATCTTTAAAATAAAACGTCCAGCAGTCTTAAACATACCGACAGTCCAACTAGATACATTTTAAATTTTTGTGAACACGTGAACAATGTATTTTAATTTATAGAGCCCAACCACCACAAAACAAAGAGGGTTATATTCAAATTGCAGAGAATGCGTGGTCGATCATTCGATTTAATTTCTCGTCATATATTCAAGTTCCCGTGTAGGTTTATACAGCAATCAAAACTATGTGCACCATTATGTCTGATTTTTTTTCTTTTACTTTTTTTTCTACGAGCCCCTAGGCTACAAAAGTTTAAGTAACGACACTTACATTAGATAACGATTGCATGGGCTGACTTTTAATTATGGTTTTTAATTACTAGAGTGTCACTTGGCTTTGAAAATTGGGTGGTCAAGACTAATTTATTATGGGACAACGCTTGGTTTCACCTCACCAAATCAATCAGGCTATCGATTTTAGTACTTTTTAAATTAGCCAAAGAATGCACACACACACAAAATTGTTACCGAAACTAACAACAACAACAAAATTGATGAGCACCATCACAGTTCGCGATATTTTGTTATGTTTCATCTCACTTTTAACAATACTATCAGATTTAATTTGATAAATACTTCATTGTCATTATACAAAACTCTGAATAGTCTGAAGCTGAATTATTTCCGTGATTTTTTTTTTCTTCTTACGGAAGCCTTCCCTTTGCATGAAAGACGCCTGTCCGAATGCCGTTTTTCCCGAATGGACACTTGCCCGAATGGACACTTGACTGAATGCGACAAACGAACAAATAGACACTTGTCCGAATGCCGTTTTTCCCAAATGGAAACTTGCCCGAATGCCATTTTCCTGAATGGTCGCTTGCCCGAATGCCGTTTTTCCGGACACTTGCCCGAATGGACACTTGACTGAATGCGACAAAGGACCCAATGGATACTTGCCCGAATGCCATTTTCCCAAAAGGAAACCTGCCCGAATGCAGTTTTCCTGAATGGACACTTGTCCGAATGCCGTTTTCCTGAATGGACACTTGTCCGAATGCCGTTTTCCTGAAAGGAAACTTGCCCGAATGCTACACATGCCAGAATGAACACTTGACTGAATACGACAAAGGACCCAATGGATACTTGCCCAAACGGAAACTTGACTGAATGAGACAAACTACCTAATAGACACTTGTCCGAATGCCGTTTTTCCCAAATGGACACTTGCCTGAATGCCGTTTTTCCGGATACTTGCCCGAATGGACACTTGAATGAATGCGACAAAGAACCCAATGGACACTTGTCCGAATGCGGCAAGAAATTCGGAAACGAAGATGGAGATGTTGAGGATGCTGGTAACGTATACCAGACAAGGCATATCAAGGAATCCACAGAGATCAAAGGGAAGAGAGAAACACGAGGACAGAAAAGTCTAAAACAATCAAAATTGTGAGAAAAATAGAGAAAAAAAAAAAAGCAAGGGTCAGAAAATCATGGGAGGATGTTGTAAATGGGGCACTGGGGGATGAATAGGGCCAAAAGAAAAAAAGATTGGCTATAAACTTCATGTGCTAGATAGAACATGTTTCATTTACTGAGTACTTACAATAAGTTACAAACAGATGCAGATCTAGGGGAAGCTAGACCTTACATCCTAATGGTAGATCTAGGGGAAGTAAAGGTCATTGACCTTACATACACAGACACACATAGATAGAAATAAAGGTCATTGACCTTACATCCTAAGGTAGTTCTAGGGGAAGTAAAGGTCACTGATAGACACACCTAGATGGAAATAAAGGTCACTGACCTTACATCCTACATCTAGTGGGAAGTAAAGATCACTAAATGAACATAACTAAAGCATGACAAAAGAGCTATAGTTTGCTCATGTTATTTGAGCTCAGAATTATCTGGACATAACTATCATGACAGATGAGCTCTGGTTTGAGGAACACAGGTTAGATCCCAATCCTAAGTTAGATCATAAATCACAGTCATCCTGTCAGATCATAAATCACAGTCATCCTAAGTCAGATCATAAATCACAGTCAAATTCCATAACACAGGCTCAAAATAAAAGCATCACTGGCTAAAACTCTTTATAAGTCACAGTGACAAAATACAAAAAATAACCAGAAATGAACACCAAATAACATTTAATCCTAGAATTCATCTTAAAAACAGAAAACACCCACTCAGGTTTACACAAATCATTCACGCAACACCAGTCTCTTCTCACGCTATATTTCATAATCCTTGACCAGGTAAAAGTGACTTATCGTCCTCTGTCTTTATAGAAATATCTGAGTCTGTGTGCTGTGTGTCTGTGAGCTCAGGGTTATCCCCACATGCTGCAGTCAGCCCCTCTACACCAGAGTCCTCTGGGACCGTGTCCACCTCAGTCTCTGTCTGACCAGCCACAGCGGCAGGAGAAGCGTGGGAGTCAGCGAGGGGTGTGTCGGCAGCTGCGATGTCCTCGCTGGGCCAGCTGGCCGGCTCCGGTGCTTTCCTCAGCTGCTCGTTCTCCTGCTGTAGACGAGCTATCTGGTCTCTGGCGTCCTTCAGTTGCTGCTGGAGCATGAGGATCATCCCCTGCATGCCCTCAACATCAACATCCAACTCACGAAGGAACTCATCCAATTCTGGGAAATAAACAGTTCATTTATAGTGTTTTTAAAAAGGAGGAAATTTCAATTGGAATATTTTTTAAAATAATAAACATAACTGAATAGTATATAGTAATATTAGAAACTAATACAACTGAAAAAAAAAATGAAAAAAAAAGAAGGCGAAAAACTATTTAATTGTTTAAACAAAAATTATTTCATAATCAGATAAATATATTTTAAACTAAAAAAATGGAAGGGTAACTAATTAAAACAAGATAATTAAGAAAAAAAGACTAGTTGCATGATATTATTATACATCCTGAAAATTTATCCACTTTGTTTACAGACTGCAACATTGGGATTTTTAGCTAAATTTGTTATAAATGCTATAGAAAAACAGTTTTTACAGCCAACATATTCTACAGCTCAATTGTCATTTTACCTTTTTGATTCTTTTTCATCTCAGTGACCAAAGCCTTGTGAAGAGCTATCTCCCCCTCAAGTCTGGCAGTGCGACCAGATGAGATCATCTTGCCCAGCTCACCATTTTCTTGTAACAGCACTCGACATCTTGCCATCAGCCGCATGCCTGTTTGGCTGTAGATAGTTCAACCTTATAACTGACTCCAGTCTTGGTAGAGCGATAACAGCCATATCTCAATGTCCATACAGTTGAGATACAATAAATAACTTAAACTTACCACTACAATGCTTAATATGTGGCTTCCAAATCTTTATTGTTTGTGTTTGGTAATATGAGTAGCATATTTAAAATGTAATATAAAATTTAAATCACGTATTAAGTAACTTTTTAATAAATAAGTAAAAAGGATTAATAAAATGTAGTTAAAAATGCTGACAATATGAAACTCAATATTTTCTATACTTTTTGTCATTTTTTGTTGTTGCTTTTTTTAATAAACCCAAATGTTTATTATAGAAATCTCACTTATGTTCACATAAATCTCAAGATTAAAAGAATTATCCATATACCTTTCCCGACTTGCACTACTAATCCACCCACCAAAACCCAACAATGTAAAGAATATATCTTCACCTGTCTGGTGTAAACCTGGCTTGCACTACTAATCCAGCCACCAAACTTAAACCCAACAATGTAAAGATGTATCTGGACTACTAATCCAGCCACCAAACCCCACCAATGTAAAGAATGTATCTTCACCTGTCTGGTGTAAACTTCCAGGCGCTAAGTTCATTTTGTTTCTGCTTGAGCTTCTCTTTGTGTTCATCCATCTCTTTAGCCATGCGCTGGAACACCAGGTTTATGGCAGGATCTAGCAGCATGGAGCGCAGCTGGGCTGTGTTTTGTGTTTGGGCCTGTTTCATTTCTTGAATTTGGTTCTAAAATAAATAAAACCACAATAATGTTTCAGAATTTTAAAAACATGTAAATAATCTAAATCAAATAAAGCAGTATAAAATTTTGCAAAAATGCAGAATATGAAATCAACACAAATCACCAGATAAGATATCTCTTTTCTATGCTCTTTTCTATGTAGTTTTTTTTTCTTTAATTTGATCATTGTTTCAGACAAGGTTTTTTACAATTTGAAGATCTTGCCAAGATGCTTGTTTATATTAACCTTTTTGAACATTTACACATTTTTAATGATACTATGCTACTAAAATATCTCATTATTGGTCAATAAATTGTTGCATTTTTGTTGTGATTGTCAAAACTGACATACAGTACTCATCAATTTCTCTAAGGGAAATAACTCACCATACAGTCTTGAAGTTCTTGCTCCTTGTTGGTTAACCTCATGACTAAAGTGTGTTCCCTCCTAGCTGTATCCATGTGAACACCTTTATTTTTAATATCCTCATCTTTATTTTCATCTTCATCTAAACATAGAAGATTTAACCAATAGATAAAAAATATAAATAAACAAATCAGGTTGTTACAAACCCTTAGCAAATAAAAAATGTGGTTAATTTTGTCAACATTGGATAAGATTTTTTTTTACTAATGTGAGCAATCTGATGGCTTTTGCATTTGAGATCACTTCACATTTGTAATCAATGGTAAAATAAATACTAGTACATGTTTACATAAATATACTTCATTGAATTGCTTATATTCTATTTCTCTTTTCTCTCAAATGCAGAAACTGTCCTATAGCTGGGGTGTAGTTGAATGGGTAAATGTTTAAAAAATAAAACTTAAATATATCATAAAAATCAGATACCTTGATCTGAACGTTTTCTGTGTTTAGAGTGGAGAAAACTGTTCACATCATCATGATCTCTGTTCCTGATGAAGTAAGATGTAAAAAGACATACTTTAAAACTGGTATTATAGTTATTAAAAAAACGTGTTTGACAAAGAAAACATTGTTAAATAAGAAATATCTAGAAAAAAAGGCAAAAGACTGCTGGTGTAAGCTTTAACCAAACAGTTTAACTTAAAAAAATGTATCTTATCTTTCAAATGTGACTATTATACCACCTAGATCCTAATTCTTAAAACTTTTGATCATGTGCTAAGATAATGATCATATTAATTGCAATTACTGATGATAAAAATGGATTTTCATGATTTTAAATTGTCCCTAATAAGAAAAAGTATCTGATCTTTATCCGTCTGTAAACTGTAGTTAGTATGCACATTTAAACATTTACTTGTATTTATCAAAACGATCCTCTTTTTCAGATCCATCTTCAAAATCAAGTCGAGGCTGAAACAAAGTTATTTTAATTATAGATGAAAATAGGATCATGTCATTTTTTTATGTTGGACATAAAAGCAATACAAGCCATGTAATAAGACAGTTGAGATTTTTAAAAATGTGATAAAAGTGAGTTACTAAGCATGAAGCTAACAATATTCAACAACAAATTGGCTGGTCATTAACTTACCCTTTTAGGTGATAAAGAAGCCTCAGACATTCTGCTGACCCTAAAAATTATAAAAATACAAGATAGCCAATTAGTTAACAGTTTAAATTAAAGCATATTACACTGAAAGTTTACTTTTTTCAAAGTTTGCCTATCATGTTGATTCAATTGGATAAAGTACAAAACTCATTATTGCAAAAAGGTTTAAGTTTGTATTGCTACATATACAAGTATCTTGCATACTATAATTTACTATAAAATACTTATATGAACTCACAATGACGCCAAAGCCACCATAATCTCAAATAGCAATTGCTCAAGCTATGACTATGCTGATAATTATAAATTAAATTAAAGTCGATGTGAAATCACTGTGAACCCTCCACCATGTAGGGATTTTTCTCCTGTTGACGATCACACTTGTGACACAGACTAAACTACTGTCCTAATCACCTAGATCTATATGCTTATTTATATTTTTTTTACCTTTTCTACTAATTGAACACACACATTCATAAAAAATAGCTTAAGCTAAGAAGTAGATCTAGAACTAGGCTAGTTAAATCTCCTTAGCGTATTTTATTCGCCGCTTCACATTCACATCTGGTTGAGCATATTGTATTAATGTTTTTGTGTGTTTCTGTTTGTTTATAATAGGCCTAATTATTACTAGAGTGAAGTTCCACAACCGGTCACACATAGCGAACTCCCGACTTTCATCGGGCGCTATTTTGTAACCGTTTAACACAGAAACAAACCCAAAGTACTATATTACTCCTCTGCCTTTCTACTCTTAATATGTATCAATCATTTTATATTCCTACGCATTGAATTTGAGATATTCATGTTTTAGTGACGTGCTACTTGCGATATTTTTTTCCCGTCTTTATTTTTTCCTGCGGCCACCTGAACCGGCTTGCATAACGATCATGTTTTATACGTTTTAATCCTAGTTTAATAAATAAAATAAATATTTTACACTTTTAAACGTGTTGTTGATTGTATTATTAATTAATAGATTGCAAAACCAAATTAAAAACATGTTAATTAAATTAATTAACGACATTAAAAGTTGACCCAGTGATGACTCAAGGGACGCAACTATAATAATCATAACAAAGGGATGTAACAACCACTAACAAGACATAACGTAACATTTGCTTAGATATGCTTGTATGTAGAGACACAAACTAGATTTAGAAGAAGTAGATGATCGAAATAATTTAAAACAGCAGAAAAAAAAAAGAAATTATACAGATTCTAGGCTTAGCTTGAAATATAGAGCATCTAGAATTAGGCTAGTCTAGCTCAAGTCATTAGTTACGCAGCGAGGTGAAACCACCCAAATCGTTACCCAAGCTGCGGCCACCCCTATTCACCTATCAGGTTGCTTTATTAGCCTTATCTATCGTATGTACAGTGTCCCGCACATATTGTAGAAGCTATTTATAGTTAACCTAGTTATAAAAAGCTTTGATTGGTTGGTTTTATTCATCTCATCCGGGACCTAGTGTTTTTCATAGGGGGAACTAGAATCGCCTACGACGTCATACCTCGAAACTTATAAATTTAAAAACTCGACTTCCAGAAGGAGAAAAACAAAAGAATTTGACCTGTATATATTTAGAAATGGACAGGTTTACAGCAGATATCGGTAGTTTCGTATAAAACATCAAAACAAATATTGTACGAAGTAATAGTACAAAGCGATAAACAGGCGATGGTCGCACCCGGGTTTTAACTGCGCGTGGAACTTTACTCTAGATGATACTCTAGATCTAATTAAAATAAAAATATGCTCAACAGGAGCCTGGAGGGGAGGTGAACGTGCGTGAAGCGGCTAAAATAATTTTAAATAAAGGTAACGCGGTTATGCCAGTTCAAACGGTCCTCAAAAATCAAACGGAGTTTTACAAAAATCAGAAAATGTTTAGTTACTTTTTTTAGTTAGCTCTAATAATAAACTCTAATTGTACTTAAAATTAGCAGATCGAGACCGATATTTTAATTTTTTTTCAATTTAGGCTTGGATCTAATTCTAGATCTAGATCTAATAATTTTATTAGTCTACTTACCAACTTTTTTCTAGATACTTTACCTAGTCTAGTTAGAAAACGATTTGGCTAGAGTTGTTTATTTTTGTCGATCGGCGGCTTCCGGAAAGTTTAAAAAGTGTGATCGGCATTTTCAATTTAAAATGTTTTTGGGCCTTAAATGAATCTAATTATTCTAACAAGCTTAGGGATCGTGCAAATACATAGATCTAGATTCTAGATCTATTTAGTTTTAGGCCCATTAAAATTTTAATTGAAAATTAGGACGTTGGGGACCAATGAGCGGGAAAAAGTCACAGAAATAAAATAAAAAAGTTACCTAGAAAAAATGGTCAGTTTTTGTTAGGAAAAAATCTCAGAAAAAGTGACAAATATCTTTAAAGAAATATTTTGATTGACTTCATGAGAATTGTAAATAATAGTTGGTGTTTATTAATATGGGTGGTGTTTTTATTAGCATATTTATAAACTTTAAAAGCATTATGATTATCAGACTTCAAAGAAATAACTTACATAACAGCCTCAAAATTTTATTACAAGGGTCATCCATAAATCACGTCACGTTTTTTTTTACGATTTTTACCACCTCCTTCCCTCTGTCACACATTATCACAAAAAGCCAGAAAATGACATCACGCCTCAGGCTATAACCCCACAACCCCCCCCCCTCCCCCTCCTCCCTCAAAATTGCAAAAAAAAAACGTCGATTTTTTTTCTCTCTTTAAATCCTGACTGAGTATTTTAATCATTTTCTACCTAAAACTCAAAATTACAGCTAAAATTCATTTCCTAACATTACTCATCGTCTACGTTTTCAATATAAACTATTGAAAAGTTTTATAATATTTAGGTACAAAATGTGTACGCCAATTGTGTAACATGCTCATCGAGCCATTCCAAATATGTGCACGGTAATTAATACCAAAAATATAATGTAAACGGGCTAAAATTAAACAAGATTCTAGATCTACAATATTTTGTTTTCTTGTTTTAACCAACACAATTTGACGCAGATCAGATTTAATTTTATGTACAGCTCGAAAAATAAACGAGATTAAGGGTAGACCGCTAGACCTAATGTAGGCTGCCAATGCGCAACAATTTGATTCAATTTATTCTGAGCCCCCCCCCCCCCGCTCTTCCACCACTTTTTCTACAAACACACGACCGATTCCCCCCCCCCCCCCCCCCAAATAATTCTGTCTAAGTATATTAGGGGAAAAAACTTTTTAAAAATATTTTCAATATTTGTTTAAAAAACATTGGCCTATCAGATCCCCCATCTCCGACGTAGCACATCCCCATACATGTTATAGATTCTAGTACATATAATAATAGTATTAGGCCTATTAATCCTTTTATTTTAAAAAAACAAGTATCGTTATAAGTATGTTTAAGTACTTTGCGATGCGCAATAATCTTTTCGGTGTTTAGTAACTAGTTGAAGTAAAGTACTGTCGGCTGTCGGCCTAACTCGTTGTTCATGAACTTTAACCTCTGAATTCAAGGACGGACAAAAACAACAATGTTGTCAACAGCTTCACACGTATTAAAAAGGTATCATTTCAATTTAATAATAAATACTGTTTGTATTTCCCCCCAAAAACAATCATTTTTAAGTAGGCTAAGAATCTATATATGTGTTCAGTACCTATAGATTAGTACCTTATATAACTTTCTATAAAAGTACTTTATAATAAAATAAATCTAACACTAAACTCTAAGTCTAAACTAACTAATAACTAAACTACACACTAGCTACTGAACTGAGACTACAGACAGTGGTAGATCTAGTGAGTAACACTAAATTCACTAACAGTTTTAGAATCTAGTTTTCAAATGTTTCTTGACTCATCTTAAATCTCACTTAAAACCATCCCTACCCTACCCTGTCTCAAGTGTCTCCCAATTTTATATTTTGCCAATAGTTGTTTATTTTGTCAGGGTATTTTGTCAGTGTTATTACTAAAAATATGCTATTTTAATTTTTGTAGGCCTATTCAATATAATTTATAATAATATATATCATATATTTATAAGATTAGGCCTAACTGTAATATATATTAATAATATAAAGTACAACATAGCTTTATAATGATTTTTGCAGATGCCTACAGACATCAGCCACTCGACTGAAACACTCACTGCCAGACTTAAAGTATGATTTCAATGCACTGGAGCCCTACATCTCAGCTGATATTATGAAACTCCATTATGAAAAACATCATCAGGCCTATGTTACCAACCTGAATGTTGCTGAAGAGAAGCTCAATGAAGCTGTTGCCAAAGGTAACTTGAATTGGTCTACCTGTGTTCGGAGTTTCTTCCAGGCATCTCTTCACCCCCCCTTCCCCCCCCCCGAAAAATTTCTGCCTCCCCCCGAACTAAATGAAATTTATATAATTTCTAAAGAAAATATATACTTTTGACAGTGGCCGCCGCCGCCGCCCCCCCCCCCCCCCCCCGGGAGAAAAAAGTTTAGAAGAAACACCGCCTTTGTTGTCCAGGATCAATGTAAACTTTTGATCTGTTTTGAGTTTAGTCAACAGCTTATAGATCTAAATCCCTTCATATATTTTCTCAGCATCATTCATATATGCTGGCTGTGTCCCCATTGATATTTTTTTACGTTATTTGGAATTTCATTCTGTATTAATGTTACCAAATATTGTACACATTAAAATTAAAATTTTAAATTCCATTTTTTACATTTGTATAATTTCTGGTATTTGTGTGTTTGTGAATATCTGCTGTCTTTGTCCTAACAGGAGATCTGAATACTGTCATTAGTCTTCAGCCAGCTCTCAGGTTCAACGGTGGAGGTCACATCAACCACACAATCTTCTGGTCCAACCTGAGCCCCAAGGGAGGCGGCGAGCCCTCAGGCGACCTCATGCAGCAGATTAAAGACGATTTCACCACTTTTGAGCGGATGAAGAAAGAACTTGTGGCCGCCTCTGTAGGTATCCAAGGCTCGGGCTGGGGATGGCTGGGCTACAGTCCAACAAATGGACATCTTCGAATTGCTACCTGTGCCAATCAAGATCCCCTTTTTGCGACAACAGGTATCCATATTCGTTTTAAGTCAAATTAGGTGTAACATAAAACTTAAAATACCTTCATTTGTAAGTCACTGTTCCATGGTACAGTGTGTCTGGCCTATCATTACAAAGCAGTATTCATTACAATTAAGTAGTTTACTGGTCGCTATTGTATCAGATTATTTGCTTATTTAAAGTTCATGTAAGTGTATTGGCTGTGGAAAAGCTGTGATAAGCTGTTGTTAGAAAGTCTTATTTTATTAGCCTATTTTTAATAAAAACGTTGGCTAACTTTTCCAGCATCTAAAAATATAAAATGTATTATCTTAAAACTAAATTATAACAGTCTTATTGCAGTTTTTCTCTAATCAAAATGTTCATGGTGAATTAAGTAGGAGGTGTATTGGGGAAAAAAATAAAAAACACATCTTAGATTCTAGCAATAAATGTATGATGTCTTAGTGAAATAGTTTGAATTTTGTTTCAGGTTTGATTCCTATTTTTGGCATTGATGTGTGGGAACATGCTTATTACCTGCAGTATAAAAATGTGCGAGCTGACTACGTGAATGCAATCTTCAATGTGGCCAACTGGGCCGATGTTTCTAATAGATTGGCCAAGGCCAGGATGAACTAGAGTCCTGAGATAATATCTCTGAATGCTCACTTTTCTAAAAGAGTAGACTAAAAGTTTGAAAGAATTTTGACAGTCCTTGTCAAATAAGGGGTTCTCACTTTGTGCATCATGCAACAAGTTGTTTCAGTGGGGATAAGAATACTGCCTGCTGGTGATAACTTTATATTACTAGTTATAATTTAAACTAGTTATGTAAAGTTATTATCATGATTTTACATTGTAAAGTGCTCCACATGATGGGTGTTATGATATTAACGTTTATGCAATAAGTTAGTAAACAGAAAGGTGTTTTGTTTACAATTTAAGTAGATGAAAGGTGTAGGGATGTTATGTGAATTTTTCTTTGAGGGCAGTGATACTATTGTGTCATTGTTTAGGAATGATTTAGTACACTGTGTCAGTTGTCTGACCACTAAGTCTCTGCATCTTATTCATTATTTTTTTATTGCTTGACAGATGACTTTATTAAAGTTTAACTGTTGGATAAACTTGTAATTTTATTTCTTTTTCTTTTTGTAGAGGACTAAAACTAATTACTACTGCTAAAGTATTTGTAAATTTACTTTTTGTAGTTTTGATTGCAAGAAGGAGGACTTCTTAACATTTTTCTTTTGTGGTAATGTTATGGATTTTCTTCTGTTAAAAGTGTAACCTTAAATAAAAAGAACCTACAAATATTTCTATCTTGTTGATAATTTATGTTCCCTAGAGATCAGCCTGTATAATCACTCTTAAGTTCTGAAATTTAAAATACTGGTAATGATAAAATTTTAAAGTAGTTCAATTTAAAGCTACATTAATTTAATTTAAATTTGTAAAAAAATTCATAGTATCATATAAACTTTAAAGCATAATTGAACCGTAATACTTTAAATATGAAAAAAAATACAGATCATAAGTTAGTTTGTACATTAAAAGTACACCACTCTCAAAATCATAGTCAATTTCTAGGTCTCTAATTGCAATCCTGTTTCATCATGGGAGTTAACTCCTCTAGAACAAATTTACGGCAGTGGGTGGGACTATATGGTCAAAGCCATCACATCCCGCATAACACCCTGATCTAGGGGCAAAGGGCTGGTGTGTGAAGTTCTGATTATATAATCATTTTTCACTTGCAGAGGTGATATAAACTCAATCTGCCCTTCAAGTCTGAAAAGGAACTTTTTCAGATGATAAGCCATCAGTTCTGTAACCTATTATATTGGATGGAACATAAATACACTTGGTATTTCTAGCCTTTGTGATTGGTAAGCCAAACAAGGACTTTACAGTTGATTTATTTACTAGTGTGGTTTTATTGACTCCCATTTATGGGTTATGATTTTATCTGAAACACGTTAGTTTTGTGAGGTGAATTGAAATCACTGAATTTTAAATCATTTCACACTCAGAGTAAAGTTGCTGATAACATAACAATGTATTCAATGTAACATTTTTATTAAAAGTACATTTATGATATAATTATATTATATACATATTGCATGTTAGTAACCAAGCCAAATAATAATTAATATTAAAGTATGCACTACTTGAACTTGTCAGTAAAAATGAAAAAAAAATGCATCAGTTTTAGTAACAGCATTAAAATAAGACAAAGATACAATCTGGGAAACAAAAATAGTGGTCCTAGTTTAACAAGGAGGAATTTTACTTCACAAGTTTAAAGTGAGTTAAATTTAGAATTAATTAAAGCCCTTGTAAAAGAAAACAAATAAAATAATGCTTAAGATGAAACTGATTTCTTTAACTGGGCAGTTGTTTTTTTTTTTTTTTTTTTTTTAAAGATCTCATTTGTTCACCCATTTTAGATTTTTTGAAAACATTTCTTTAGACTTGAATTTATCACTCCTTCCTTTCTGGGCTTTGTAACTCCCCCTTTGTAAACCCTAAATTGTAAAAAAAAAATTAACCCCCCCCCCCTCCAATAACATGTTTACGATAGTAGTTTTCGTTCTTTGAAAAATTGTAGCTTTAAAGTAAGTTAGAATTTCTAAACCTCTTTTGTCAAGTCTAGCCCTCCCGTCTCAATCAAGAGTGTTGTGTCATCTGACGATGTAATGTCATTCGATAACATCCATAGTGAAAAAACAAACAGAAAAAAAAAGGGAAAAATATTCTGTGTAAAAAAAAATAATGAAACTGGCAAATTGCAGTTTTGCCGGATATTGCAATTTTATTAAAATAAATTATCAAGCCGGCTCATTAAAAACATCCTCATTTATATGGCACGAAAACAATGGTTCTTAGATAATTTTTCAAGTGAGTGCGAGGGTTAGTCCTTATGCGTTTTAGTAGTTGAACACCCCCCCCCCCCCCCACACCTCCAATCTTCACAAAAATATTGAAACCAGCATTGCTTTCTAAGAAATAATTATTAATTAATTGAGTTGTTTCCCTTCAGCAAGATGATCTTGTAAAAATGAGCTACTTAAAAATGTGACGAAAAATGCTGCTCATATGTAATACTGAACATTTTTGTACGAGTCAACATTAGGTAGCCTGCCTTTGAATTTGTAAGGTAATGGCTAAAGTTTTCTTTAGACAATGACCAGTATAGGTCAGGTTAAACCTGGAGAGGAGACACGCATCACTGACTTGTGTGATTAACTTTGCCAAAAACGACACCTAACATTAAATTAATTAACTCACATGGGGGGGGGGGAGTTCATAAATGACGTCACTTTTTTTTCGTTCGATTTTAACCCACGCATCGTCAGAAAAAGCCTGATTTCCACACCCCACCCCGAAACTGACGTCATACCTCAGCCCCCATCAAAACTGCAGTTTCATTATTTCTTTAACATAGATTTCTTTCTAAAATATTGACTGAGCTTGGTCATGAAAGAGTATATTAATCAATTAATATCTATTCGCTTACAAATTTAGTTTTTTATTTTCTTTTAAAAAAAACGGGAAATAACGGCTAAATTCAGTTTCTAACATTTTTTTTAAATGCAAGAATGTGACGTCACACAATCTGAACATCCCCCCCCCCCCCCCATCATCACACATCGTCACAAAATTAGAGACGACCCTTAACCCTGCTACGAGTGTGTCGTAATTTTTGGACGACCTCCCACCCCCCCCCCCCCCCCCCCCCCCAAAGATAGTATAGTATTGCACATAAATAAGTTCACGAATTCTTTTTTCTTTAGCATAATTCGCCAAAAACTCATAAAGTATGGTAGCACATACAACCTTAAAATTATCACAATTCTACAAAAATTAGCGGGTTTTTTAAAAAACTACAATACAAATTCTCATGTTTAGGTGGATTTCTTTGGGCATCCTGTCAGCCTCATTCTGAACTACTAGGCTACTGATTTTGATCAGGGTTTCATTCAGACATTTTCCTCCGGAGGAGACACTTAAAACACCAGGGGCGTTCTTCAAATTTTTTTTGGGGGGGGGGGATTTGAAACACCCGGGGAGGGGAGGTAGACAATAGAAAAAGTATTTATTTTTTTTAATATAGAGGTCTAAATTATAGTTTTTACAAATTTCGTCGCTAGGGGGCGGGTGGACGGATTGAGATACCTGCAAAGAAACACAGTTTGATATATGGGTAAATTATCGGGAAATAATTGAACTTGGTGTAGATGATCGTCAAAAGGCATTCCGGATAAAATATATCAGGCTTATTGATAGGACCAAGGCCTGCGTTTGTTATTTTAGGGGGTGGGAGGTTATAGCAAGAGACATCGTGGAACAGAAAATAATTTAAAATGAAGTGAACCACAAGATGAGTTAATTTTAATTAATACAACAAAAATATATTATATAATAATATGCACACCACCGGTATCACAATATTAAGGCCCATAATGTATTTTAAATTATCACAAAGTTCGTGAAATTACGTAAAGAAAAAAATCTTAATAGTGAAAGACTACCCACGTACATCCGAGGCTAAGAATAACAATAAGAAAGAGAAAGTAGCAATATAATTTAACAGACAACAAGATGATAATGATATAAAAAAAAAAAGGTCAACAAAGTTCGGCAATCGGCTCCAGGATAATCTCGTACGGAAAAGGGGAGCAAGACAGTCCGAATCTCCCTTCTAGGGGAGGTAAGTGATGAGCATCTTTAGCGACAATGTTAAACTTTTGGAGTATTGTTGTGATGAAGAGAAACAGCTCCATCGTTGCTATATTTTCTCCGAGGCAACTTCTGCTACCTGTAAGAAATAAAAAAATTCTATTATATATTTTTTTTCTTAGCGTCATTTTATATATATATATATATATATATATATATATATATATATATATATATATATATATATATATATATATATATATATATATATATATATATATAATGACGCTAAGAAAAAAATATATATATATATAATGACGCTAAGAAAAAAGTCGAAGCCGCTGCTTTAGCATGTGTTTGTATCACCTATACTGAATGGAATAAACTCGTCCTTTTTGATGAGTTTTCCTTCCTGTAAAAATCTCTCTGGCCTGAATTGGTGTGGATCCTGCCACACATCTTCTGAGAGCATGACGGAGTCCAGGTTAGGCAGGATGATGCAGCCTTTTGGTATCTTCCAGCCTCTGAACTCGGTATCGGAAGATGCTGAATATATATATATATATATATATATATATATATATATATATATATATATATATATATATAGGCCCTATATGCATATATATATATATATATATATGTGTGTGTGTGTGTGTATATATATATAATATATATTTTAAAGGGATCATATGCCTATTACACAACTCACACATTTTGACGATTTAACACATCACTAACCCATACAGCCCTATATAATAGCACATTATATCTAAACAAGAAGATAACAGACAGCTCTCGATCAATATACATACATATTTATATGTGTAATGTAATACTAATTACAATTACTCCAACTTAAGCTTCTTTATATTAAATATCAGTGTTAGGCAGGGCCTATGCAATGCTGATGAATATTCTCAAACAATTAAAAAACACCGTATCAACAACTACCTGTGTGGAAGATACTGAGCGGTGAGATACAAGCTATACGCTGGACCTCCATGACGGTCGCCGCGGTGAACAACAGCGTTTTCCGGTCTTTAAACTCGACCCTACGCTGTAACCCCAGGTGACCTCTGACCTCCTCACAGCACCGCTCCAGACAGGCAGGGTTGTGCAGCAGGTACAGCAGGCTCCAGCACAGCGTCGTCGTCACTGTCTCCGTCCCCGCGGCAAACAGGTTGTTGACCACACCCACCAGGTTTTCTTCTGATGTAGCATAAAGCGACATAAAGTGGTGACAGGGTTAAAACATAACATTGTATTGGCATATGGTATGGGCTTTAGCGTAAATCTACCAGTTCTTGTTGCGGTGTCGGTAAAGGTTGATGAGATGATTGAGGGCAAGATCGTCCACAAAGAGGGAAGTTGAGTTAAACGATAATGTAATTACAATTTATTAAATATTTTTAAAATTAGAACCAGACAAAAACACAGACATGACCAGAGTTTCTTTTAGGCATATCTTCGGGAGGGCATCCGCCTACCAGTCCCCCCCCCCCCCTTTGGAATATTTAGTCATATTTTTTCATATGCCCCTTTTAAATTTTAAGTCCAAACCCCCCCCCCCCCCCCCCGAGGCGTAGCGACCCTTCTCGGCCCACCGGGGACAAACTTTTGATTTGCACCCCCACCTCCCCCCCTCAAACTTTCGATTTGCACCCCCCTCAACCTTTCAATTTATTTTTTCAACCCATTTTGGCTCCCCTAAGGTCGGCGCCCGGGGACATATGCCCCCCTTGCTACGCCTCTGCATCCCCCCCCTCCCCCCTCCAACTTCCCCGATACATTTCTGAAAAAAACAACGGACACGACGGACAAGGAATCAAGTTAGATAAAAACTTAGACAAAATAAAGGGATGCAACTCACCACAAATTTCAGTATTTTTGTTTGGATCCATTTTTTTCTTGTATTCCGAAACGAAACTGTGGTTGTCATCACACAGCTGGATCTGTTTCCTAACCAAGTTCTCCTCCAACCGCTCCGATAAACGTTTCACCTTCTGCAAACTATTTGAGATTTTAAAATGGATTGTCTGGAAAACTAAGTACACAATACCGTCGACTTAGTCAAGTTCCTTTTTAGGCATAGCGATTTACTGGGCAGTTGATGAAGAGTTCATAAGATTGATTAATATCTTTTCCACAAAAAAAAAAAAAAAAAAAAAAATAAATGAAGGGATAGTGTGGTCCAGAAATTGCTTTTTGGTTTTTCGCTGGTGAATGTATTGGAAAAAAAGGAAGTTTGATTGGTTACAATAAACCCGGAGCCGTAAACTTTGACATTCATTTCTAAGTTTATAATTTTCATTTAGTTTAAAATAGTGACTTGGATGTTTATCTTCTGAATGAGGAAACAATATGAGAGTAACACTAGTGTGATAGTTTTGAACTTGTAATATAAAAATAAAAAATTAAAGGCACAGTCTAGTACAACTTTGGTGTGCTGATTAATAAATATCTTGTTTTAAGGGAGAAAAAAAAAGAAGGGATAGTGTGGTCAGCACTATGACCAGCCGCCTCTATAAATTACACTACGTAAGTCAGGTACCCATCAGAGCTGGGTGGTATCTAACTCACGTTACGTGAATCATATGCGACTGGGTATAGAGCTAACTATACTGTTATATAGTGCAGTATGGGTGATGTGTTAAATCGTCAAAATGTGTGAGTTGTGTAACAGCGTCAGGGGTCGGCGTGGTTGAGTCGGTAATGCTCATGGTTGCTAAACCGAAAAGTCTCGAGTTCGAACCCTCGGGCAGATGAGGCTCGTTAGCTGGGGACAGCCACTCTTCTAGGAGAGACAACTCCAAAATTAAACAACTGCTGCCTTGTAGTTTGTTCTTGGTTGGACAAAGGCTATGGAAGCAAATCCAAAAAGAAAAGCCGGCTGAAATCGGAGTCGATGGCCTCAATGGCGCATAACCAGTTGACACGTAACGCTTAATTGTGTTGGAAGCGTGGTTGAGTCGGCAAAAAGCTCATGGTTGATAAATTCGAACAGTATCACGTTCAACCCCACTGGCAGATACATCTCGATCCCCTTCAACACTAATAATTAAGAACGAAGAAGAAGTGTAATAGCGTCTTCCGATACCGAGTTCAGAGGCTGGAAGATACCAAAAGGCTGCATCATCCTGTCCTTATGAGACGAGGCCACAGAAATAATTGACCTTTACCGTACTTTACATTCCCCATGTACCGTCAAGATCGAAAAGGGACTTCACTTCACATTTTAGGCAAAGTTAGGGTTATGATGACCAAACAGTTTTTCTAAGATAAGTTGTGATGACGGCTGTTGCCGTAGTTACCTACCCAAACAAATCCCAGGGTAAATAACGCAGACAAGGAAGGAAGTTTAGAGCAGCCATCCCATCATGGTGGACGATCTCCTCGCCCAGCACTCGTGCACACTCGGCTGTTTCGGCGTCGTCGTGTCTGAGGGAAGGGATCTGAACATGAGTAACTGACCACTTTGTGGGCAGTGGTCATTTATATGTGCACAGGGAACAGCTGTTTGGAGTGAGCAGTGAATTATTTAGTGGCTTCACATTGTGCAGTGGTCAGTTAGGGGGTAAATGAGCTCACAAGAGGTATTAAAGTCTGACTTCACCCCCCCCCCCCCCACGCGATCTAAACCCTCCAATTTGAACAACTGGGTCTCCGAATAACGACAGTAAGAGGTCCCCACTCACGTTTACTCTGTCCATGTGGTGGTTAGTTCAATGCTCGCTGACGTAAACAACACAAGGAACAAGTTCAAGGTCGAACTCACCTGAACTCCCGACCAAAGGCTATGGCTGTCACCACATTTGACACGCTGGTCATCAAAAGTGGCCGGGGGTCGAACGCTTGACCTTTCAGCTGTGTGACCTCATCGATAAAGTGAGATATCCCGACCTGGATTATCTCTTCTAATCCACCGCTCTGTGCGCCCAGACGGCGAAGGATCTCGAGAGAAGCTTTCTTCTGGACCTTCCACTGATGACCACAGGCTACGAACCCTGTCATTCAAAATGTTTGGTGAGAGTTACTGTTACTGTTAGCCTAGAACACACTTTTCAGACTTAACGATCCATAGGGCAGAGGAAAAAAAGTTTGTTTCTTGGCCTTGGCATGGTGTGGTCAGCATTATGCACAGATCCCTTTATTTCCCCAACGTGAATCAGGTTTGCACCCCCCCCCCTCAGACATTCGATTTGCACCCCCCCCCCCCGCTCAAACTTTCGATTTTTGCACCCCCTTCAAACTTTCAATTTGTTTTTCCAACCCATTTTGGCGCCCCTAAGGTCGGCGCCCGGGGACATATGTCCCCCCGTCCCCCCCCCCTCCCTCGCTACGCCTCTGACTTTGAGGCCTTCTACAGACTCGAGCCGGGGATCCGAACTCGAGACTTGTGGTGTAGCAGTCATAATATGTATGGTAGTTATTACATGAATATCTGTATCTATGTAATAATTTTATTAAAATATCTGAAAGATTAACTCAACTGAACATTTAAAAAGCATTTAAAAAAAAAGAAACCTCTTTTTAAGAAGAGTTACAAAAGGCTATGATAGTTACCCTTATCTCTGCTGAGCTGCCTAGTGACGTAAGTATCTGGTCTCTCTGAGAAAATGTTCTTCTGCTTGACAAAAGCTTCTTGAATGGTATCATAACCAAACAGCATGATGGCAAGTCTGTTGCCGAGGTATATAGAGACTACAGGGCCTAGCCTGAAAAAAATGAACTCTTTAAGACTTGAATTATTTTTACGTTTTGCCAGAAAAAAATTCTCTCAATTTGTTTTCCTGCATTTACCCTGCAAAACGACTCATATTATTTTACCCGTTTGTATATAAAGATTACAGGATCACGCCTGAAAAATTACCCCCTCTCCCCTAAAATAAACAAGCCTGGATAATTTAAGCCGAATTTAGGGGAGTAAATGTTATTCTTAGAATCAACAGTTCTTCTAAAAAAACAAAACGAAGCACAATTTGACCTCGTTTTAAGTAGGCCACAATGCAACGGTGTCGGAAAGTAGGTAATCGTGTCGAGTGTTACGTAATCGTGTCGAGTTTACGGTAATCGTGTCGAGCATCAAGTAATCGTGTCGAGTTTTAGGTAATCGTGTCGAGCGCTACGTATTCGTGTAGAGTCTCAGGTTATCGCCCTGTCAAGGTATTCGTGTCGAGGAGGCAGCACGTGTAAAATACTTATCTTTAAAAATAAAATGTTATGCCTCTTTTGATGCTGCGACTATACCAATAGGAAAGCCAATAGTATCGTCAATAAAACTATAACAGGGCTACATTAGCGTTTTAGGTCTAGGGCGAGACTCAGGTTAGAGTAGTGGATACACGACAAGCTAGAACTGACTGAGGCTATGTGGGAGCGTGTGGCTAGATCCTGGGGCCAGAGCCGGCGTTAGGGGGTGGCGAACGGGGCGGTCGCCATAGGCCCCGCGTTTGAAGGGGCCCCGCGCTTCAGCAATGTCATTGTTATCTGAATTAGTTTGTAAACTTAAAAAAAATTGTTGCTGAATTCAATTGGGAAAAACTAAATGGTGGAATGCCGACGTTGTTGATTGTTATAACTGAGGCCACGGTTGATGTTGGTGAGTCCCACCTGAACTGGGACAGGCCGTAATTCGATACAAAAATAGTGTCACACCTACCCTTTGTGTAGGGTACGGTCGCCTGGCATTTGACCTGAGCTGACTGGAGATGGCGGTCGAGAATTAGCCCACGACGTAAAGAGATACCCTATTGTATGCGGACCGATGAAGACGTCCTTTTAGTGAGCAGACGGGATGTCTATAGTAGACAGTTAGTGACCTGATGAACTCTAGTCCTGACTTTCTTGTTGTAGATGTCGTATAATGTCGTATATGTACAGTGTTTCTTCCAGACTTTTTTCTCCGGGGGGGAGGGGCACTTGAAATTTTCGGGGGGGGGGGGGGGTGCGGTAGACTTTCTTCGGGGGGGGGGGGGGCGGACACTGTTAAAAGTATATATTTTCTCTATAAATTATATAAATTTCATTTCGTTTTCGGGGGGGGGGGTACTCTATGTGTAGGCCTACTTGTCTTGGTATAACAAAATTAACATTCAGTTGCGTGCAGAGGGGTGGGAGGAGGGCGACGAGGAGGGGGGGGGGCTTAGGATCTATATCAGGCGGCATTAAACAGAGTGATTTATTATTATTTTTTGGAAGAAAGTTAAAACTGTTGTTATGTTGTGTCACCTTAAGGATTCACCCGTTCAATAATTAAGACAATAATGATTTTGGTTTTAAAATATTGTATGAATTCTAAACAAATTTTGAAGTCTATACTGTTTTGATACATCAGGCCGAGTTCGCTGTATTGTAAACTTTATTTTCCTAATTATTCGGCACGTGATTAAATTTTCTTAAGTGATTTGGTATGAATTACATAACTGTTAAAAGTGATTTAATATCTTAGCAAAGGAAAAAAAACAACTACGAACATTGGGTTAATACATGGGAGAGATAAAAATCTGTTATTATAGTGGAAAGTTTGACATTAGCTTATAAACTCCAAAACATTTGTGTTATTATGTGTACATCACATTATATAGGTCTTTATACATATATATATATATATATATATATATATATATATATATATATATATATATATATATATATATATATATATATATATATATATATATATATATATATATACATATATAATGGAAAGGCCCCGCGCGGATGGTTGGCCCTAGGCCCCGCGTATTCCTAACGCCGGCTCTGCCTGGGGCTATTTGGGAGCGTGTGGCCAGACCCTGAGATGTGAGAGCGTGTGGCTAGACCCTGAGATGTGAGAGCGTGTGGCTAGACCCTGAGGCTATGTGGGAGCGTGTGGCTAGACCCTGACCCTGAGTCTATGTGGGAGCGTGTGGCTAGACCCTGAGGCTATGTGGAAGCGTGTGGCTAGACCCTGAGGCTATGTGGGAGCGTGTGGCTAGACCCTGAGGCTATGTGGGAGCGTGTGGCTAGACCCTGAGGCTATGTGGGAGCGTGTGGCTAGACCCTGAGGCTATGTGGGAGCGTGTGGCTAGACCCTGAGGCTATGTGGGAGCGTGTGGCTAGACCCTGAGGCTATGTGGGAGCGTGTGGCTAGACCCTGAGGCTATGTGGGAGCGTGTGGCTAGACCCTGAGGCTATGTGGGAGCGTGTGGCTAGACCCTGACCCTGAGGCTATGTGGGAGCGTGTGGCTAGACCCTGAGATGTGAGAGCGTGTGGCTAGACCCTGAGGCTATGTGGGAGCGTGTGGCTAGACCCTGACCCTGAGGCTATGTGGGAGCGTGTGGCTAGACCCTGAGGCTTTGTGAGAGCGTGTGGTTAGACCCTGAGATGTGAGAGCGTGTGGCTAGACCCTGAGGCTATGTGGGAGCGTGTGGCTAGACCCTGAGGCTATGTGGGAGCGTGTGGTTAGACCCTGAGGCTATGTGGGAGCGTGTGGCTAGACCCTGAGATGTGAGAGCGTGTGGCTAGACCCTGAGGCTATGTGGGAGCGTGTGGCTAGACCCTGAGGCTATGTGGAAGCGTGTGGCTAGACCCTGAGGCTATGTGGGAGCGTGTGGCTAGACCCTGAGGCTATGTGGGAGCGTGTGGCTAGACCCTGAGGCTATGTGGGAGCGTGTGGTTAGACCCTGAGGCTATGTGGGAGCGTGTGGCTAGACCCTGAGGCTATGTGGGAGCATGTGGCTAGACCCTGAGGCTATGTGGAAGCGTGTGGCTAGACCCTGAGGCTATGTGGGAGCGTGTGGCTAGACCCTGATGATATGTGGGAGCGTGTGGCTAGACCCTGAGGCTATGTGGAAGCGTGTGGCTAGACCCTGAGGCTATGTGGGAGCGTGTGGCTAGATCATGAGGCTATGTGGGAGCGTGTGGCTAGACCCTGAGGCTATGTGGGAGCGTGTGGCTAGATCCTGAGATGTGAGAGCGTGTGGCTAGACCCTGAGGCTATGTGGGAGCGTGTGGCTAGATCATGAGGCTATGTGGGAGCGTGTGGCTAGACCCTGTGGCTATGTGGGGGCGTGTGGCTAGACCCTGAGATGTGAGAGCGTGTGGCTAGACCCTGAGGCTATGTGGGAGCGTGTGGTTAGACCCTGAGGCTATGTGGGGGCGTGTGGCTAGACCCTGAGATGTGAGAGCGTGTGGCTAGACCCTGAGGCTATGTGGGAGCGTGTGGCTAGATCATGAGGCTATGTGGGAGCGTGTGGCTAGACCCTGAGTCTATGTGGGAGCGTGTGGCTAGACCCTGAGGCTATGTGAGAGCGTGTGGCTAGATCATGAGGCTATGTGGGAGCGTGTGGCTAAAACAGAATAGTGTTAAGGTTAGAGCTGCCAGAATGTAGTTGGGATGGGATAGGGTAAAGTTTTATGATTATCTGGAGAAATTAGATCAACGGGTTGTAGGCCGCTTCAGTGGACGCTTAATCGGGCGCACGGTGTTTCTTTCATGCATCTCTCTAGTGCACGGTATCAGACTTTTTTTCTCTCCAGATGTGGGAAGGGGGGGGGGGGAGACCCTGGTTAAAGTATACATTTTCTTTATAAATGATATTTTTTTTATTTGGCGGGGTGGGAGTGGTAGGCGTGCTCGAATTGCAATTTCCAGCTCCCAAAGAGTTGCCTAAAAGAAACTCTGTCCGTTGGAGCACCTACCTGCCCCCCCCCCGCCCGCCCCGCCCCAAACACGTACATCGTTTCCCTTACCCTCCCACCCCCCACCCCCCTCGACCGAAATTGAAAAACTATAATTTATATAGAAAATATATATATTTTTACCATTGTCCGTCTATCCTCCGGAAGTTTCAAGTCCCCCCCCCTCCCCGAAGAAGAATGTCTAAAAGAAACCCTACTTGCGTCTAGTATCAATGTACGGAAAATAAGCGAAATCAAGAAATCGTGTAACTCTGACCAACCTTTTATGCCAGCTCAAATACTGCTGCCTTGGGTTTTTCTCCATCAAGTACAGGTGCCCGACCACAGGGAGCCACAGCCCTGGGGAGGGCGGCAACCCACGGGCCATCGGTTTGTTGAGGTACAGGAACAAAACGGTGCCCAGCGCTAGCAGGAGCCAGCTCAATGGGGCGTCAGTTAGCCAGAACATTTTGAGGTCAGCTGGTCAAATCTAGATGTGTGGCTGGTTTTATCACAAGACGACAAGGTGGTTATATCCAGATGTGTGGGCACTTCAATCACTAGGCGACACTGTCAAACGAAACATGGATGTTGGTATACTTTTATCTAGAGCAGATGTATCAAAATAATAAGCGGTGATTCCAAATTTATAAGCTGTTAATTTACTCGAGCGGTTTGACTTAAAATTGAAGGATTTGCAACAACCAGTCAAGCATTCACCAACTACACTAAACGAGGATTGGACCAAATAACCCCTAGCCCTATGGACGGGGATGAGGTGTGATAACTGAACAAAACTGAGCTTATTCCTGCTGTAGCTTGCTTCTTCTGAACAATTAGAAAAACAAATCCACTGCATAACAGATTTTTAAAAACCCAGGATAGTAAACCAAAACAAAACATATCAAAATAAACAAACACGGAACATTTTCTGGGTGTTATGTTTTGGATTTTTGTGGAAAGGGTTGAAAGCGTGTGAGAAAAAAAAAATTATGGTTAAAACAGCATTTTTACACTGATGCGTAAACTAAAATAGAGAAAATTAAAATGTAGCCACTACAAAGAAACAAATCAAATTGTTTGACGAGCAATCGTTAAATTATATTCCGAAGAAATTTTACATACATTTTTGAACATTAAAAAAAACTTCACATAAAAGTTTGAACATTCTAAAAACACTTCATATAAAACTTTGAATATTCTGAAAAAACAATCACATAATCTTTTGAACATTCCAAAAAACCTACACGTAAACTTTGAACATCCCAAAAAAAAAAAACTACTTCGCATAATAGTTTGAACATTCCAAAAATACTTCGCGTAATCTTTTGAATATTCCAAAAAAAACCACTTCACGTTAACTTTTGAACACTCTAAAAAGATTCTCATAAAATAAAACTTTGAACACCCCCCCCCCAAAAAAAAAACACTTTGCATAAACTATTGAACATTCCAAAAACACTACACGTTAACTCTTGAACATTCAAAAATTTAAATACTTTATGTATAAAATGAACACTTCATATTTTATATAAGTTTAAATGCTCTCTATATTACCTAACAAAAACTTTTTTTTTCAAGATGGCAAAAGAAAATACCCACAAATTGTAACGGTGTCGAATGTAGAGCGCCCTCTATTTTAAACTCCACACCAACGATACTATCGCCCTGCTTGCCCTGATCTAGCTGAACTCGCTACGTGAAGACGTTTCATTCATGCCAACATCTCGGAGAGAACTCTATGCACACACAAGCGTGAACGTGCGGCAATGATGTAAGCGTGCATTACATGGTGGTGCACCCCCACCCCCTGCATACCTTAGATAATGGCATAAACACATGTTGCCTCTGTAGCTGCTTCGCTGCAGGTAGTTCAAGATTTTCCGTCCATTGACCCCCCTTCAGCAGTTTAAAATAAATTGTGTAAAACCTACGTCAAATCTACACTCCCAGTTCCTCGTGATAGATAGCATCTGTTAAAGCTTCATTTTTTTTAAAAAGTATATTTTAGCAGCTATATCATCAAAGCAAATGTTTTTAAATGAACGAAATATTATTCATGACCTAGTACAAAAATAGATATTAGGTTATGACGTCTGAGCGAGTCAGTGGGCGCGACGACCCCAATCGATTGTGTATGTCTACATGATTTATACCACGAGAGGGGTGGGGGTAGGAGTTGGATTATCATTTGATATACTGTGTTATATGGAGAAAGGGGGTATGTATTGCGCACGTATTCCCAAGCTTTTCGGGTGTCGACTTCTTTTATAAAAGTCAAGTGACCCAGTTACCCCGTAAAGTCATACAAGATATTTTAATTAGGAAATTAAAGCACAATCACTATAGTTTTTAGAACACTTTTTTATCTAAAAACTACTTTTATTAATTAACGCGATGGTTGAAGTAGCACGTTATTAACTATTTTCAAAATTAGCCTATCCCATAAATTTCTCAACATTTAATTATTTTTACTCGAAGAAGAGTTCAACACCCACTCTCACAGAGTTATGTAAACACAAATAGAACGAAATTTTGAACGTCACATTTTGGTAAGAGCGTATAGTGTGAGCCATTTCCCACTAAATAACCTACGCACTGAGATATTGTTCCGCAAATCTAAGAATTGTTGCCGCAATTAAAAGGAAAGCAGAGGTATCTTTTATATCTACACAGGAAATCTCAAAAATTATTATCACCATCTTGAACATGTCGGCTTTGATGAGCTTTTCTCCAATTGAGTGAGGGGTAATTTTTGCTTGCCGATTTCTTATTTGACTTCTTATAATACTTGCAGCAATGTTTTTGATCTCTCGCTGAATACTTCCTGTTCCAACAAATCTCTGAAAGATACAGCTAGCTTCATGAAGACAACAAAACGTGTAATCTTTTTAGTGTGTTGTGAATGCTTTGTCTCGAATTGACTTTTGTAAATTAAGATTTGAAAGGACAAATGATCTCAAGGACAAAAGATCTCAGAGACTTAAGATTTAAGGACTAAACCGGACAAAAAATCTTACAAGAAATATCTCAGGTCAAAATATCTCAGATAAAATATCTCAGGACAGAATATCTCTGACAAAACGTCTCTGAATATCTCAGACAAAATACCTCAGACAAAATACCTCAGCATCCAGCACGACAGGACAGGTCCTTACCTAGAACCCACAGGACAAATTGTCGGCCAGGAATACACGAGGACATCAAGAAGACGGGCAGCACCTTGGGACAGGTAGAGAGGAGGACACGTGTGATCAAGATCCTGACCAAGTGGTGGCCAATGCTCTGGGTGGGGCGACTGGTCTAAAGGAAAAATTATACCTACGATATATGTGTTTAAAAATATATACCCCCCTCCCATGACGCTAAATGGCGTATAAATAGATCGACTGAGCCATTAATAAAACAGAAATCACACATCCAGTAGTGTTGTTAGTTCCATATCACATCCTTTTGTTCTAACTCGCTAGATCTAGATCCATACCACATCCTTCTGATCTAACTCGCTAGATCCATATCACATCCTTTTGTTCTAACTCGCTAGATCCATATCACATCCTTTTGTTCTAACTCGCTAGATCTAGATCCATACCACATCCTTCTGATCTAACTCGCTAGATCCATATCACATCCTTTTGTTCTAACTCGCTAGATCCATATCACATCCTTTTGTTCTAACTCGCTAGATCTAGATCCATACCATATCCTTCTGATCTAACTCGCTAGATCCATATCACATCCTTTTGTTCTTACTTGCTAGATCCATACCAAATCCTTTTGTTCTTACTCGCTAGATCCATACTAAATCCTTTTGTTCTAATCCGCTAGATCCATACTAAATCCTTTTGTTCTAATCCGCTAGATCCATACCAAATCCTTTTGTTCTAACTCGCTAGATCTAGATCCATATCACATCATTTTGTTCTAACTCGCTAGATCTAGATCCATATCACATCATTTTGTTCTAACTCGCTAGATCTAGATCCATATCACATCATTTTGTTCTAACTCGCTAGATCTAGATCCATATCACATCAATTTATTCTAACTCGCTAGATCTAGATCCATATCAAATCCTTTTGTTCTAACTCGCTAGATCTAGATCCATACCAAATCCTTTTGTTCTAATTTGCCACATGTTGCGACATCATGTGCACGGCTGTGGTGTGTGAAATCTTTCAAAATTCTTCCTGCATACGTGTGTTGCTTGAAAACTTTCTATTTCCTACTATCTGTACTATTAAAAAAAAACAATATCTATTTCCCATCTCCGTGTATCAGCTAGTCAACCGTTAGATTCAAAGAGAGCAACTGATTCAGGCCATTAAAGGTGTGTTGGGTATGTCCTTAACAAAAGGCCTGCGTGATATAAGCACAGCTGGTGGGCTGAGTATGTCCTTAACAAAGGGCATTCGTGATAATAGCATGGGGTGGGGGGGGGGGGGGTGAAGTTAATGGTACGAAACGATGACGTTAAATATTCGGTTAATATATGTATCTATCATTATGATTGGGCGGTAATATTTTGAAATTTTGTAATAAGCTCTTACATTAGGTCACAGTGTCTGTCAGTCCGTCCGCCGATCCGTCCGTTTGTTCGTTTGTCTGTCCGTTCGTCCACCCACCCGTCGGTCCGTCCGTCATTCTGTATTTATCGATGTCCGTCCGTCTGTCCGTCCATCTGTCCGTCCATCCGTCTGTACTTCTGTCAGTTTGTCTGTCTGTCACTGCGACTCTGATGAGGCCATCGGATGATGGCCATCTGGTGTCTGATGAGGCCATATAAAATCTTGTATTCTTGCATAACAAAGTTACTTACAATCATACATTGTGTCCATCCATTTCTCAGGTTTACTCTACTCCCATACGTGTATGACATATGGGGTGTATATCATATGTGGTGTATGACATATGGGGTGTATGACCTATAGAAGCACACGCGACACACCTAGTTCCTCCCTCCCCCCCCCACCACTTCAATAGTATTACTAAAGAGTTACACAATAACTATGGTGAGCTTAATCATGATTATTGCGACATGTGATGATGTGTGTGTTTGTGTGTTTGTGTGTTTGTGTGTGTAGGGGAGGGGGTTACATCGGCTTATCATTGATTTTATCATCGCATTACGGCATATATTGACGAACCTTTTTACATCGACGTTTTATACTTTTAAAAAAAATGCTTATGTTTTATACATAACTTAACCGATATTTAACATAGCATGCATTTTAATATTATACTGAACTGATATTTAACATAGCATGCATTTTAATATTATACTGAACTGATATTTAACATAGCATGCATTTTAATATTATACTGAACTGATATTTAACATAGCATGCATTTTAATATTATACTGAACTGATATTTAACATAGCATGTATTTTAATATTATACTGAACTGATATTTAACATAGCATGTATTTTAATATTATACTGAACAGATATTTAACATAGCATGTATTTTATACAGTGTTTCTTCCAGACTTTTTTCTCCGGGGGGCACTTGATATTTTCCGGGGGGACTTTCTTCGCGGGGGGGGGGGGGGGG